CCTTTGTAAAACAATGAATATCGAGATTGAAGCAATCTATGAAAGAAAATCTCTTACATCGTGGAACATGCATGAATAGAAAGACAAGGATTCTCCAAGAATCTACGATAACATTGTGTAATTGGCCAGAACCGTTGAGAAATAAGGAGCCAAATATAATATCAATTAATAACAACCCCAATACTTTGAGGGATCCGTTTGATGTATATATTCATCCAGGGATCCAAAGGCAACAGTGAAAAGACATTATTTACTTTTTTTTGTGTGTTAAATATATGAATGTGAATAATATCGTATATAGAAGGTCGATGTATGTACATTCGATATTCGTGCAATCTATTTTTAAACATTCTCAAAAGCATAACTACATAATTTTATTTTCTTTGACGAGGTCAGTGAAATGATATAGAACTAATTATGGAAAACGGTAACAATATCGGTAAATATGCATGAATATTGAAGCTGAAGTATATAGAATTTGCAGGGGAATTTTTTGTTGGTGAATTACAAGTAAATAATGCAGAAAGGATGAAATTTATAACTCCAGGATTTGATTACTCAACTATTCAGTTTCAATGAGATACAATATCTATGCGAATTATGGAATTGTGCATGGAATGAAAACAAATCATTAAGCCATTGACAGTAGGTATTTAAAATTTGTTTTTTCGTATGTATTTCTTGACTATAGTCGGTTTTTTGAACAAAATTGTTGTTGCACTTTCTCAAGAATACGTATTACTTCTCATGATTTGTATGTATTTTCTCCAATTAGATTCATTTTTTCAAAAAGCTTACTTGAAGCCAAAACCGTTGTGATACACTTATTTAAAATAATTGGTGTTCCGCCTTATATTGCATTTTGTTGATATTCATTCTTATTTGATGATCGATTGTGTTTTGATAAACCACCAAGAAGGCCAATATATCTACATTTTGACAGTTTTATTGCTAACCAGGGGCGTAGCTACCGCCGTATCAGCCGTATCAATTATACGGGGCCCCCGGACGACGGGGGCCCCCGACGACCCCGACGTGCTAAGCAAAAATTAATATAAACTTCCAGATGTTAAGTGACGATTCATCTGAAAAATATTATGGTCTTCACGGAACGACGCTTTATATTAGCGGTTAAGAAAAAATATTTATTAATCATGAAAACTTCGTACCAACTAAATTTAATTTCGAATAAAAAAGATGAACGTGAAGAATGTACAAATATGATCATCATTTTGGAGAGTTATGAATTCTTAGTTCTTATTGTCGCATTTTTTTCTACACTATTTGAACTCATTAATCCCGTTTCTAAAGATCTACAGCATGAAAATACTGATTTACAGAAAACTATTATTTTATTAAGTAATATTTTGAATAGTCTGTACGAATTAAGAAATCAAAATTCATTCAATAGTTTGCTTAATGAGTCCAAAGAGTTAGCAAAAGAGTGGGGGTTAACAACTGTTTTCAAAAACAATAGGCGAAATATAACGAAGCGTTTTTTTGATGAGTTATCACAAGATGAGAGAATTTCAGACCCAGAATTTTATTTCAAAGTCATTGTATACTTTTGCTGTTTAGATATATATTCATTTCTCAAATTGAACAAAGATTTCAGAGCCTCTGCGACCTGAGTAGTATGTTCGAAATATTACAACCGGAGAAAATCCTGTCTTCTTCAAACGAAGAGATATTCAACGCCTCCAGAAAATTGTTGGCTAAATACAGTTATATCAATGAATACGTTCCCGAATGATCTACTCATGTTCCTTCCCCACAAAATATTAACAAACTAGTTCATCCTATCGCTCTTCGGATATACTGATTTAGCCTAGAAGAAACTAGTTCATCCTGAAATTGGGTATATCCGGTAACATACCAATCAGAAACTTCTATTTCTCATATGTATCATGACTCATGTATTATTATTCATTTGTTGTTTTTAGGAACCTATCTCTATTTGAGACAACATAACAAATGAGAATTCTCCCATTATTTGTACTTTTTTATAAGGAAACCCATAGCCCACTAGCAAAATCTCGCAATAATTTGATGAAGAGTTTCTGGAGATTATATGTATGAAGCATAAAATATCACTTCAAAGGAAAAAATGACAAATTCAACGCGATGATGCAATACAGGGTGTTCCCTCGGAGAATATATAAGTTTGCGTCATATCTCCAAAACCGAACCCTGAAAAAAAAAGTCTGTGGCAGAAATAGGTTTTAGCGCAATACTATTCCGTATAACTACGTATATATACAGAGTGGCATTGAAATAAGTGCAAATATTTCAAACACTGAGAAAGCTCGACGTGTACTATCGAATGGCACTAGAAAAAAAATAGGGATCGAAATAAAATTCGAGGTTAGACCCCTTTTTCTACCTTTTAAGTTCTACACTGCGGTAGGCACAATCAGGCCGAGTTCAATTATTTAAATTGTTTTAAAGAGGAGTACTTGATTTTTTTCTTGTATTTTGTTTGATTCTTGAGATAACATTTCCCGTTAATTAGAAGAATTAGAAAAAAACTGATATCATGGGAATATTCCTTAGACTGTATTATATTATTGTGCTGAATATGTGCACTTATTTCAAAAACACCTTGTAGAAGGGATTCGAATTGTGTAATTTCTTCTACAAGCACACTCACTAGTAGAAGGGATATGCCGTTACCAGCACAGTACCGCATGCAACACTGTCTAGGTGGCGTTCTGAATATGCCGCATTCTGGTGGCGCCAAAATTGAATTCCGGATATTCCGTATTAATTATATAACAGAACTTGTAGGATGACGTAATTTTTTCTGTGATTCGCTACTAATGCTGCCATTGATACCATTGCAGATGGAAGGTGCGCATGTTTAGTGGACAGCAAAGTTGTCAGATGTTACGAAAATTACTGATATTTCACTGCGCGCTGCGTTACATCGTTGTCAGACGTTCAATTAAAATGTAGATCACTCCGTAATACACAAGACGACCATTTGAAGATGTCCAACGTGATATCTCCGACAGATGTCGTATGACAGATGACGTTCAACTTCTGACTTCTCCAAAAATACGTATGTTTGCTTCACCAATGAAAATACATCATGAAAATCATCCATATCTCATAGTGGTCCAATGTAATTTCAAAAGAAAAATGAAAGAAAACAACGACATACCCTAATATTAAGTTTACCATAGAGGCTGAATCCAATTTGGCTCTTCCATTTCTCGATTTACTTATCACAAGAAATGTTTCTATTTCTGGATTTGAATTTGAGGTTTACAGGAAACCAACTGCAACCGATTCTATGATCCCCTTTTTTTTAATCACCCACATATCCATAAGTACGCAGCTCCCAATAGTTTTTTCCATAGAGCTTTCTCACACTCCCTCTTCCTGATCATGCGTTCACTAAGGAGATCAATACCATCAAACAAATTGCAGTTAATAATCGATTTCCCTCAGAACATATCATTTCGATTTATTTCAAATTTTATTGGTAAATTTTTGGGATTACCGACAATTGGACGCGGATAATTGGACGCACGAAAATTGGACGCGGATAATTGGACGCGGCGACAATTGGACGCGGCGACAATTGGACGCGGCGAAAATTGGACGCGACGAAAATTGGACGCGGCGACAATTGAGCGCATGCGGAAATGAAAATAATTTTATAATTCCAATGAAATTTATTGCATGGAATATGCAGGGCTCATATCTATAATATAACAAATACCTAACCTAACCTACCTAACCTAACCTAACCTCGCGTCAATTGGACGTGGAAAATTCATATTACGATATGAGATAGGAAAATAATTGTCAAACGAGGCCATAGGTATTTGTTATAATTATGGATATAAGCCCATCAGTATTTCATATTTTATACAATGAATTTCATTGGAATTATAAAATTATTTTTATTTACGCATGCGTCCAATTGTCGCCGCGTCCAATTGTCGCCGCGTCCAATTGTCGCCGCGTCCAATTATCCGCGTCCAATTTTCGTGCGTCCAATTGACCACGTCCAATTGACGCGACACCAAATTTTTGACCGCTGTTGACCCTAATTCCCCATCTTCCTCTGCCAATCATATTATAGATTCAAATCATTCTCTTGATGGCGTCAGTAATTCTGAAATTCTCCATATGTGTGATGAAGGTTCTAGATTAAATCTGATTGAAATCATGGAAATTTAGAAATGCATAAACAACAAGAATGTTTCATGTCTTAATGATCAAACCAACTTTGAACATAACATTTTCATGAATTTAAAATATTCATGACTCTTTATGGTTGTTCCATTTCTTTGCAGTTATCTCTCCGCCACTGGATATTTGATTGTCTATACCTTCCTCCCTTCTTTTTATTTATCTGTTACACTTTCCACTTCTTCTGCTTTATTCTCTTCTTTTTCTTTGATCTGTTGCCTACATGCTCAGCTCTCTTCTTCGCACCTTTTCTCTTCTTGATGTAACCTCAATATGTATAATTGTGTCAGTTTAGCACATGTCACTAACTAATTTTTGTTTCGGGCCTGACGTGTCCAAGGTCAAAGTCATTTTGTTCCATAATTGTCAATTTTCAAAATTTCAGTTCCTTCTAGTACTGACGGCAAACTGATGCTGATGTTTGTATAAAAACAATTTTTCTAGAAACCAAGTTCAATCTTATCAGAGCCAGTTTTTTCTGGCTCCTCAGTAAATTTAAAAAAGTTATAGAAATGCTACAGATTCTTCCAACCCGTTGAGGAAATCGTTTCTACGTACCATGATTATTGTTTTTTCATTTTGAGTCCCATATTGTTTGATATGTTTATGAAAATTCTTTTGTTCTCATTATTGTCATAATATTATTTCAGGTACCATAGTCTGATGATGGCCGTAGTGCCGAAAACGGTAACTTTTTAAGGAAGTTTTTATATAAAGTGTGGTCGACCGACTTTGTGTTGTTTTCTTTTCATTCTTCTTTCGGAATGAAAATACAATTCAACTGGATTGATACTTACCAAGCAGATACTCAGTGTCATTCTGCACATGCAGCAACTGCTCCCGATTCCATACGTACTCGAACCGCACTCCTGCCCTCTCTTTCTGCTTTTTCCACTCCTCGATCAAGTTGGCGCCGTCGGATCGCTCACCCCGTTTCCCCTCCTCGTCTACCTCCTCCTTGGGCAGGAATTTTTTGCGCCCGCCGCCCAGGATGACTTGCAGGTTTTTGCCTGTGTCGCCGAAGATGAGCTGGCGGGCGATATCCTGACAGGTGGTCGGGTCCAGGCCGGATTTGAGGACGCTGGTGTCGCTCTCCCAGTTTCTGTATGCTGTGTGCGCGTACACTCCTAACAATATAGAGATTTGTTTGGTATATCAACCAACTCTGTATCAAATAAACTATCAATTAATAAGAGTGTCCCACAAGGTTTTGTTTTAGGACCTATACTATATTAACGTTATGTTCAAAACATCAATCAAATTGGTCTAACGAGTAAATATACCATGTATGCAAATGATACAGTAGTTTTATATGGAGGCAAGAATCCTTCAAATTTAGAAAATATGATAAATGAAGACTTTAAAATATTTGAAAAATTGTTCCACTTTACCATTTATCGGTAAATACTAATAAAACACAATATATGATTTTTCACCAAAAAAATAAACAAAAAATCCACCTCAACCTTGAGATGAAAATTGAACTCTTGAAACAAACTAGCCAGAAGGAATTATCTTGGTTTTTGGTTTGATGACAGGTTGAAGTGGGACAAACATATTGACGTTTTGACGAAGAAGAGAAGCCCTAGCCAAGCAAACATACCTATATGTTTGTGTCAGTATCGAAAACATCAATTCAAGAGCTAATTCTGGTATGAAAATGGACGACTTTTGTGCCGGTTGCAGAATACAGGGTGTTTCTTGAGTACGTGAAAAATATTCAGGAGCATGTTGCTGACGTCAAAATAAGAAGAGAAGTTCTTATAAACATGTATATGTCCGAAAGTAAATCGTTTCTGAGATACAGATGTGTCAAAGTTGAATTCGTATTTTTGTTTTCTGGTAATAAATTCCAGAATAATTGTGATATATTCGAATGAAGTTTGGTATCTAGGGGTATTTCTAAATGACAATATCACATTTTATGTTAGTTTGTGTCTTTTGTGGGGCTGGCGCCACCTACCTACATGTCTCTTGAGTCTCTTGAAAAGTCATAACTTTTTGTGCCTACCTGTATCATCTTTTATAGAAGAGAACACTTTTGTGTGAGAATTATGTTCTTGGTAGAGGTCTCTGCGAGCAACTGTTCTCGAGTTATTGGAATTTGAAATAATCGATGCATTTGAATTTGAAACTACTTTTTTAGCCACTTTGAACAATAACTTCAATCAATTCCCTTAACTAACTGTTTTAGTATTAATTTGGTCTCAATTACTGTTATTATTATTAGTATCAAATTTTATCAACACCCGATTCCTATTTTAAAATGAAATAAAAGAAGAATAATTTCCCTTACTCAATAAATCAATTTCGAATGTCAACTTCTTGTCATTCCAAATTACTTGTATTGATTATTTCAGATCTCAATAACTCGAGAACAGTTGCTCGCAGATACCTCTACCAGGAATATATTTTTTACAACACAAAAGTGTTCTTGAAATCCATTTTTCTACTATGAAACATGATACAGGTACGCACAAAAAAGTGATGACTTTTCAAAAGACTCAAAAGACATGTAGGTGGCGCCACCTTCACGAAAGGAACAAACTAACAGGAAGTTTGATATTGTCATTGGAAACTACTCCGAGATTCCAAATTTTATTCGAGTATTACAGTTATATTGAAAGGTATCAACAAAAAACAAGAATGAGAATTCAACTTTGACATTCTGTATCTCAGAAATGAATAACTTTCGGACACAGATTTATACGAACTTTTCTTCTTATTTTGACGCCAGCAACATGCTCCTGAATTTCATACACGTACTTGAGAAACACCCTGTATATGTTTTGACAGGCTGTTTATAGTATATTACACACCAAGGTGGGAAGTGATTCATTCCTGTCATGAGATTAGTTAATTAACCGAGACGCAAAGCGTCGAGGTTAGCTATAATTTCGAGACAGGAATGAAACTTCCTTTTTTTTATCGCTTGGAGCGCACGAGAGGGAATCCCTATAATGTTCAAAGAACATCGTGCGTTCCTAGGGAGGATAGGGACAGGAGGTAGGTATTGGAATTTTTTTTGAACTTTTGGAGATTATATGTTGTTGGGAATACTTCCACAGGCAATGAATTCCAGTGCCTAGCCGTTCTATGGATGAAGGAGTCTTGATAAAGTGCTGTTCGACATCTTTCGAGGTTGATAACGAAAGGATGTGCTGACTGGGCTTGTCTAGTTCGTCTGATTGGTATTGCTAGTGAAGGGATGATAGCAGAGATTTCCGAAGAACATTTCCCGTGGAAGTATCGATAGAAAAGTGAAAGGTCGCCGACCTTTCTACGGTGTTCCAATAATGTCAAAGAGTGAGTGAGTGTGGCGTCACCCACCAGGCGAATGGCTCTTCTCTGGATGGAATCTAAGAGCATCAGCGTATGTTTTGGTGCTGAACCCCATATGTGGGAACAGGAGGTGTAGAAGACGCAGTTGAAGATACCCTGTATGAGTCAACTTTTCATGATTTTGAAAGATTGTCAAAAATAATATTCTGACATAATGTTAATTAATTTCTGTATTTTGTCAAGTTCTGAATAAAAGGCGAAAATAAAAATAGGTTTTTGCATTCAAATACAGAATAGCTTTTACATTAAACAGAGTGAGGTCCCTCATTTTATGACATAACAACATTTTATTGGTGGTGGTTGTATTATCAATACACTGTTTTGTGAGATCCCTTAGTATTTTGTAACTCTCCCCACCCCCAACGGAATTTGCAGATTTTACTCCAGATAAAAACGATTGATTGGACATTACCAAATCAGGTTCTCGTTGGCTCGACTTCATATCCTTGAAATGTTCCACGTCATCTATCCATTTACTCATGATAGCTGGATTTTGGTAGAGATTCTCTGAGGAAACGGAAGGTGGCAACATTTCTTCTTCTTTAACCACGCTACTTGTATCGCTTCTTCCTGCTATTTTTCTACGTATTTCAGCTTCCTTTATTAAAAATTGACGTTCTCTTTCTAGAGCTTTCAACTTTTCTTTAGCTCTTGATTCTTCGTCGTCAAGCTCCTTTTGTTTTTTCATCAATGCCAATTCGATATTCAATTTAACAAGACTTGAATTCTTGGATTTGACAGATTCACCTCTTTTAGATTTATTACCACTTGAAGCATCTACTACTTTAGCTGAAACCACAGACTTAATACTCATTCGTGATACACTTTTGGGAATCTCCACTTCAGACTGATTTTTGCCAGACATGACTTTTCCTACAGAACTTGTATAGCTGTTCATCTGATCATCATTCAGAGCTACACTCGAACTAAGTCCTGCATTGTCCAAATCTGCATATCTTTTAGGTGGAACACCTTTATTGTGTCGCTCACTTCTTCGCACTTCTTGAAGATCTGTCGCTTCTTCTACTGCATTATTTTCTTCCATAGTGATTCTTAGTTATCTCGAAGGACCAAATGTAAAAGCTATTCTGTATTTGAATGCAAAAACCTATTTTTATTTTCGCCTTTTATTCAGAACTTGACAAAATACAGAAATTAATTAACATTATGTCAGAATATTATTTTTGACAATCTTTCAAAATCATGAAAAGTTGACTCATACGGGGTATCTTCAACTGCGTCTTCTACATTCTCCACACCAGGCGAAGTTTGACTGAGTCTATGAGTACATCAATTTGAGACAGGTAATATACATAACTTCGTAACGGGTCTCATATAAACTCCTTTTCTGTTTACTATTTTTGCAACCCTTATGATGCCATCTTTCCCAGAGAATGTTTCTTCTATGCGTCCTATCACCCATTGGTTTCTAGGTGCCTTCTCATCAACGATTAAAACTATGTCACCTACTTTGACAGGATTACTTTTATCATGCCACTTTTGCCGCTGAAGAAGAGTCGGTCGATATTCGAGTACCCATCGTCTCCAATATGAATCTGCCAGTGCTTGGGCAATACGCCATTGCTTTCTACTGGAAAGCTGGAAATCGCCATAGGATTTGATATCACCTGGACGCAACAACAAAAAATGATTATATATTCGATTTCAACTAACAAAGTTACCAAGACTTCTTCTCTAGGTTTGATAGTTTTGAGACTTATCTTCAGAGCTGTTTTGATGGAACGAATCATTCGCTCCCAAATCCCTCCCATGCGTGGAGCTCCGGGAGGGTTGAACTTCCAAATTATTCCTTTCGAAGCTAGATCTTCGGCGATTTTGTTCTGATCCAAACCCTGAATACACTCTCGCAGCTCCCGTTCAGCTCCAACGAAGTTGGTTCCATTATCGGTCCTGAATTCCTTCGGTTGTCCTCTTCTACACATAAACCGTCGAATGGCAAGGATGGCAGAACTTGTATCTAAAGATGCAGCTAGTTCTATGTGTACTGCCCGTAGTGTGAAACAAGTGAAAAGAACACCATATCTTTTCTCATTTCTTCGTCCAATTGCGACAGTCATGGGCCCGAAAAAATCAATCCCAACAAAAGAGAATGGAAACGTAAATGCTCCCAAACGTTCCGGTGGCAACATCCCCATTTCAGGAGCTTGTGGTTTGCTTCTTCTTATCTTACATGCTTGACAATTCTGGAAACTTCTTTTGACTGCAGCTCGAACATTAATAATCCAGAACTTCAATCGAAGGTTGTTGACTACTGTCTCTAAACCAAAATGGCTCGATTCCTCATGATACTGATCAATCAACAGTTTTGTGAATTCATGATTCGGATCCAGCACAATAGGGTTTCTTGACTCAAATATATATATATATAATATTTTCGTCTGAGATTCTGAGGTTGTATAGAGAATCGAAAGACCTTTCAATCGAGGTATCTTTCGACCCCCCACTCCATTTAAAAAAATCTTCCAAAATGGCGCCCAGGCGCCATTTTGGAGGATACATATTTTTTTTTTGGAACGATATATAGCACTGAAACTACCATTGAAGCTTAAAAAAAAATTGAAAGAAAAAATCCCATCCGTTCAATAGTTAACCAGGGGGGGGGGTGACTTTATGGACACAGTGTATATGTTTCCATTTTCAACTGTCCTAAGGAAAGCAACTGCAGCATACGCTTTATCGCTCGCATCACAAAATATATGGAGGTCCACTTTTCTGACACTTGATAGACTTGGAAAATAATACCTATGAATCATAACAGGTGTGATCTCATTTAACTGTCTCAACCACTTCAACCAGGCCTCGAAGATTTCTTCTGGTATCTCTTGGTCCCATGATATATTGCTTCTCCATATATTCTGCAACAGAATCCTAGCATTGATCATGAGCGGAGCAAGGAAACCTATCGGGTCAAAAATGGACATGACCATTCGCAATATTTCCCTTTTCGTTGGAACCTTCAAACCACCAGATATCTCAGGAGGAATCTTCTTCAGGTTGAGGGTGAAAACGAAGTTGTCCTTCTTTGGAGACCAAGACAGTCCCAGAACTCGTTCCAATGATGTCGAATCTATTTTGACATCAGTTTGGTAATCAGCTCGAAGATTCTTTGGAATAGAGTTCATTACCGCACGTGAATTGCTCATCCACTTTACCATTTCGAACCCTGCTTCCCTATGTACATAGATCACGTTTCTTATTCTGCATATGGCTTCATCCTCTGTACAGCAAGAATCCAGATAATCGTCCACATAATGCTGTTTTTTCATAGCTCTCACTATTCCTGGACATTTGGACTCGAATAAGGCGGCATTCTTGTTTTTAACAAATTGAGCTACGGACGGGGACGATATAGCACCAAATATCATCGCATTCATGATGTAAACATCAGGACGTTCATTTCTTTCCATACCACGCCAAAGAAAGAGCTGAGCACATCTGTCCTTTTCGATGATTGATACTTGGTGGAACATTTCCTTAATATCCCCTCCAAAAGCGATTTGATGTTGTCTGAATCGCCACAAAACAGAAATGAGAGATGGCACGAAATCTGGACCTTGACAAAGGAAATCATTCAAACTGGAACCTTGGGATTTCGCTGCAGCATCAAAGACCATCCTGATTTTCCCTGGTTTGTTTATGTTCCAGACCGCAAAATGGGGAAGGTACCAAGTTTTGTTGTTGTTCGGTATCTCTGTGGGATTCAACTTCTTGGCATATCCTTTCCGAATGTACTCCGCGATCTTTGCAGTATACTGTGAAGCAAACTCGGCATCATGGTCCATTTTGCGCTCCATGCAGAACAACCTCTTCAGAGCATTTGCTTTGCTTTGAGGCAATGAACAGTCATCCTGTTTCCATAAGTGACCGATATGATAACGTCCATCAATTTTCACCACAGTTCTTTCCATAATTTCCATTGCCCTCTTATCTTCTACCGATTTGATGATTCCATCCTGCATTTTCACACCGAAAGCTTCTAGACGAAAACTATCTTTTACTATTTGATGCAGTTCTTCATCTCCAACATGACGGCAGCAGAGGCTAACATGAGATAGGAAATTCTCTGGGTTAGTTTCATCAACAGGTCCGTGAATTGTCCAACCTAATTTAGAGAGAGACATTATAGGCTGATTCAGTTTGGGTTGGATGACAGTTCTTGGTACAATAAGACCACAATTGTCTTGTCCGATCAACATTTCAGGCTTCGTATAGCTGATAGATTTCAAAATATCATGATCCAAATAAGGAAACCTCTTGATCAAGTCTTCAACATTTATTTTCTGCCTCGGCAACCGCAAGTTTTTTACGGTTCTTACTTGGTTCATACTGAAAAACACTTGAGTAGCTTTATCAGCAGCAACGTCTACAGAAACCATTTGGGATTGATCTTCATAGTGGGTAATTTCGTTGGTCCACTGGAAGCAAAGGGGTACAACCGGTCCATGAAGTTGAAGTTTATCAGCTAAGTCCTCTTCGATCATGGTACACGTTGATCCTTCATCAAATAGAGCGTATGTCTTGATCTCACCTGCAGGTCCGCGCAACATCACGGGAGCGATTCTCAATAACACACTATTCTTCTCATTTGATGGCTTCCTGGTCAAACTAGCGCAAAAATCGGAGGATGAGATTTCTTTGCTTTCAGACCTCTCGACGTTGTTGGGAATTTCTTCATCGCCTTGCTTCTGTTCATCACGCTCAATATGAAGAAGAGGATGGTGTCTCCCTTTACAACTATTCTCTCCGCATCTTGACTTCGAGAAACACCTAAAAGCCATGTGACCTACTTTAAGGCAGAGAAAACATAGTTTCAAACTGAGGATTGTTTCTCGTCTTTTAGTTACTGTCATATCCGTAAATTTCTTGCATTTCGATATGGCGTGACTAACATTTTTACACAAAATACATTCACTGGATTCTATATGTTGTGTACTACTTTTCCTCGAGGTCATGACAGTTTCTTTTCTTGGAACAGTTTTGTACGAACTGTTTCGCTGAAATGGATTACTGATAGCGGTCATGGATTGCAGTTCTTCTTCAAACCAATCTGCAAAATCTTCCAATGATGTTTGAAGACCCTGTACATCACGGTGATGCTTGAACTTTCCCCAAGAGAATTTTTGGATGGTAGGGAGTTTCTCTAATAAACCGGCTAACAATTCTGGATTGAAGAGGTAAAGAGACGAGTTGACGTTCTTCATGGTAGTTACCATATTATTTACCGCATTGGAGAAGTAAATCCAAGAGTCCAATCTGTCTTCTCTGACCACACCAACCTTCTTTACTTTTTCTATCAGAGAGAGAATTATCCACTCTGTCCTACCAAAATTCATTTCAAGCATTTTCATAATTTTTGGTACATTTCTTGGACTGGTTAGTAAGGCCTTGACGGTGTCTCTTGCTTTCCCTTTTAGTGCTTTATCCAGGCGAATCAAATTGTCCTCGTCAGATAAACCAAGCTGCTTTGTAGATCTTTCAAATTCGTTAATAAAAATGGGCCACTCTGTCAGCTCACCAGAAAACAGAGTGAGGTCCCTCATTTTATGACATAACAACATTTTATTGGTGGTGGTTGTATTATCAAATAATGAATAAAAGGCGAAAATAAAAATAGGTTTTTGCATTCAAATACAGAATAGCTTTTACAGGAGGAAACCGAGGTTTGTTTTAGTATTTTATTCACAACCATCATATTTCGATCAAAATCGATGAATCTATGTTTCGTTCTGAACATACCTGAATTATTTCATGAGTGAGGGCGGGAAGTGAGGTCGGGCAGTAGAGTGTAATGTGATACTTCCCAACCTCCAATGACGTTAGTAATGACAACATCACTTATATGGTTGTGAATAATTTTTTTTTCATAAAGTCAAATTGTATTTCGTGCCCCTCTCCCTTACCTGCCGGAGACGCATGCGTCACTTTCGTGTTGGTGACAAGTCCCGACCTCTTTCCCTTCAACTGGAACAGCCTAGCTATCGAATCCACGTGATTCTCCGGATCGTTCATGGCCGTGCAGTTTTTTTTCGACACCGCAGCCGATACTCCTATGGTGCCCAAGTTGGCTTTGACTCCGCCGAGGTAGGCCGTGGCCGAGCAGGCCGAATCGGCTGTTTGGTGGTCCACGCAGTAGGTCTGGAAATGACGCAATGATGTTTTTCTCAAGTCGCTCAAAAATATCTATACAGGGTGAATGTGAGAGTGGGATTTTTTGACAGGATATATCTAAATAACATCTAAAAAATTCAAGGGATCATTCCTTGTGATATTTTAGGAAATAAAGTTCACATAAATATGTGTCCTTACTTGCTTCGTTTTTGAGATACAGAGTATTAATACTTCCATCATGAAATTTTTTTTTCTATTCATTTCTCAACTGTTTTTCCATCAATTCAAATAAAACGTTGTGGTTTTGTCAATAGTAATATGGAGCTTCTTCAAGTGCGATTAGATTCGAAATAATATTTCCAGTGGAGTCACCGTGGGTAAATTGGACCCCGCACTTTTTCTATATAAAAATGGCGTTCTGTCGAATTTCCCGAATTCCTCGTATATTATAGAACTCGACCAGATGATCAAATATGCTGGGTCTCAATCCCATCCTATGACCAGTTTTTCAGATACAGGGTGTTGAAGTTGAGAAATGTCCCCTTTTCATCTACTCATATCTCCAAGAAAAGCCAAATGACCAAATGAATAAGAATTTTCTGCTAGCAGTGTTTTTGTTTAACCTTTGGGTAGAAGAACCATGTACAGAATCAACCAAAGCTGATTTTTATCACAGGGTGATTCACATCTGAATTATTGTGCTATTTTCAATGTCTATAAAATATATCGATACTACAACTTGATTAAAATTTAAAAATCAAAATTATCATTCGATATCTTCTTCTTACATGAAATTGATTGATTTCATGTATTGATTATACATGGTGTTTCGTGAATGCTGATGTTTTAGAAAATAAAGTTTAATGAGCCACCTCGTATTATTGGGTTGATTCAGGCAATTGATTATAATTTTTGAGGACATATTATGGTGCATTTCATGGTATACAGAGTGATTTATTGATTGAAAAAATTACCAACTACAAAAAATATTAAAAAACCACTGTTTTTTCCATCACCCTCTAAATCTAGGATCTCACCGTTAAGGTCAGATTTTTTTTTCATTAATATTCTAAGTATTGATACCACAATGAGATGAAGAATTTTCAGCTTCTTGCTATGACTAGTTTTCCATATATTGAATATAAGAAAAGTGATTACCCACCCAGATTAAATACCTACTGCTTCGAATCGAAAATAATACTAGTAGAAAATATTACTGTTACTGAGATATTTCCATTGGAGACTTGAAAAAATAACAAAATATACAGTATACAGGATGTCCGATAAACCATCGAAAATACTGTAGCCGGTGATAAACAAATTCATAACCTATCAGAAAAACACATTCTGACCTCAGCAAAAAACTTACGAATTTCGAGATATTGGAAGTTTTATTTGTGAAAAAATGAATTCCTGTCTCCATGTGTAGCTTGAAACATACAAATAGGAATTGAGTTCTTTGTATAAAAGTTCAAATTGTGGTGTTTTGCCAAGCTATAAACTTGTTTATCACCAGCTAGGGTATAATATATGATCCATGGTGAAGCGGACCCTACTGCATATTTTGTTATTCCTTCGGGTCTCCAATGGAAATATCTCAGTAACAGTGATATTTTCTACAAATAATATTTTCGTTTCGAAGCAGTATAGATATTCAATCTGAGTGGGTAATCACTTTTATTATATTCAATATATATGAAAAACTAGTCATAGCAAGGAGCTGAAAATTCTTCCTCTCATTGAGGTATTATTACTCAGAATAATAATAAAAAAAAATCTGACCTTAACGGTGAGATTCTAGATTTACAGGGTGATGGAAGAAACAGTGGTTTTTTAATATTTTTTTGTAGTTGGCAATTTTTTCAATCAATAAATCACTCTGTATACCATGAAATGCATTATAATGTGTCCTCAAAAATTATAATCAATAGCCTAAATCAACCCAATAATACGAGGTGGCCCATTAAATTTTATTTTCTAAACATCAGCATTCACGAAACACCATGTATAATCAATTTATAAAATGAATCAATTTCATGTAAGAAGAACATATCGGATGATAATTTCGATTTTTCCATTTTTATCAGGTAGTAGTATCGATATTTAGAAATTGAAAATAACACAATAATTCAGATGTGAATCACCCTGTGATGAAGATCATCTTTGGTTGATTCTGTACATGGTTCTTCTACCTAAAGGTTAAACTGAAAAACTGCTAGCAGAAAATTCTGATCCATTTGTCTTTTCTTGGAGATATTGGTAGATGAAAAGGGGGCATTTCTCAATTTCAACACCCTGTATCTCAGAAACTGGTCATAGGATCAGATTAGGACTCGGCATATTTGATCATCAGGTCGAGTTCTATAATATGCCAAAAATTCAGGAAATTCGACAGAACGCCATTTTTATATAGAAAAAGTGCGGGGTCCTTTATCGATATTCATTGTGAATGTCATTGTCCACCACCAGATTTTTTGAGTTTCATATCTTTATTAGATTGAACTATTGAAATAACAACTTTAGTTCTTGGTAAAACAATAGAATTTCGATTTGACTCCAAATTTTAATGTATATATTTTCAAGATTTCCATTGAGATTACTCAATAACCCCAATTAGAATCATTCTGGGATTTTGGGGCTCCCTCAGTCTCCATTCATACTGAATTTTGGCACCATGAAAGCTTATATAGGGAGGTTATGAATAAAAACAATTGATACTTCCAACTTCAACATCCTGTATCTCAAAAACGGAGCAGGTTATATAGGACACATTTTTATATGAACTTTATTTTCTAGAATGTCACGAGGAAACACCCTTGAATGTTTTCGGTGTTATTTAGATATAGGTATCTCACCAAAATAAGTTGTTTAGGGAAATATTTTAAGATAACGGAGGTACAGGTTTTTAATGGTTCAAAGAAGACTCCAACTATGAAACATTTTGTTTACTTTTTCTCATGAAAAACGCGAAAAAGCCGTTATTAGTTCAGCATTATTTCATCAGAAACGCTAATCAAGAACCTCTTTTAAAATTTCCAATCTATTTATTATCGTTCTGAAGTGAACCAGAAAACTTTAGGAGGGAATTGATGCATTGTCCAATAAACAACTTTTTTCTGTGACGGGAAAAAAGTTTGGCATTTCATCTCTGTTGGCAGGTTATAAAATGTCACTTTTCATAAATTACTTTTTTCCCGTGGGAAAAAAGTGAGTACTTTTTTCCCGGATATATATCACATAATATATATACTCTGCTAATGGCTTTTGTTGTGCTATAGTTCCGAAAAATGAGTCAATAATACCGTCTCCGAGAAAGAACTGCAAGTCCTTTTATCTTCCATTCGACTTCGCGGTTTCGTATATTACTAAACAACTACTGAATTCGCAATTTTTTAAAATCAAATAACAGAATTGAACTGACAGAAGTGACATCAGATATTTGATTACTTCAAAAGAATGATGAAGATGCCTATAAAACTCAGGTGTCCCTACTGTTGAAAACTTGAAATTTCACGTCGATAATTTTCCAGATTTCGAAATAATGTAATATCTTCTCAATATTGATTCGTCCTTCCTTCTGTCACAGAAAAAAATAGTGTATTATACACGGGAAAAATAGTAGATTTTAGCTCACGGTTTTTTGTCTCCCTCCGCTACGCGTCGGGAGACAACACAACCTGGAGCTAAAATCTACTACTTTTTTCCCTTGTATAATAAATAACTATATTTTGGCGAGATATACATATAGTACAGGGTGACATAAAAAAAAAGTACATTGCATAGTGCCACACAATAGAAGATACTAAAATAAGAAAAAATGAACATGGGTCCACAAGGCCTTCGGTTAAAAGATACGGGGTGTTGAATTTAATTTTTTTTTGTGTTTTCTTTGAATATCTTCAGCCAGAGACGCAAGAGATGGATAAAAATGTGGTATACAGGAGTTTTTCATCGTGCTAAATTCAAATATGGTCTTAGTTTTGTGATGACTGATAGAGGGCGCTACATTCAGGGTTCCATCTCTATTGAATCGGTCGTAACTTTTTGGCTATATACTGTATGTCATTTTTGACGTAAACAATTTGTTATCCCTTCTTTTATACTCGACCTTGTCCAAATCGCTAGAAGCAATGGTTTCAGTACAAATGCATCGAAAAGCCGACAATGCACGCAAATTATTCAAAAAGCGCCAAAGTAACTTTTGCCAAAACAATGATAAATACTTCAACAATTACATTTCAATGATATGATGAAAAATATGATTAATTAGAACAAAACCTTAAGGTTTTAGAAGATGTTCAAATTGTTGCCTTGTTGTACTTCAATACATTTTTCCATTCTTCTTCTCAATGAATGACACCCCGTATCTTTTAACCGAAGGCCTTGCGGACTCATGTTCATAGGAACTTTTTTCCTTATTTCAGTATCCTCTATTGTGTGGCACTATGCAATGTACTTTTTTTTATGTCACCCTGTATATAGGTACCCTGTTAGTTGAAAAACCTCACTTCCAGATTTACCTTGTATACTTTCAGTCCGTTGCTAAGCCACGAGCTTTCCCGATTCCCTACCGGTTTTTTATATACAGGGTGTCCGGAAAGGCAATGTCGTGAATGATAGGGCTAATAGGGTGTTAAAAAAATAATGTCAGTATTTAATATGAAAAAATATTTATCGCACTTCGGAGTTATTGACCTTGAAAGTTTGACAAGCCCATTAACGCTCAAAAGTTTTCATCAAGATATATGTTGTTTTTTTTTCATGAAAGTCCATACCTTCATATGAAATATTGAATGTGAATTCATTTTGATTCCATTCGATGTTCGAATATTAAGAAAAAACAATGGTGAACCGTTTTACCAGCGGTTCTTTACACGACTCACCGAGGCTTGTATACAAGTTATACCAGTATGTGGAAATCGGGAATATCTATACAAATATTTCATTTTGGAATATTTATTGAGGAATAATTATAAAAATAGAGATATGGTATTCATGTATAATACGATACAAAACATCCAATATAC